GGAGACCCCGCACAGCCCTTAGGAGACCCAGCACAGCCCACCTGAGACCACGCGCAGCCCACCTGAGACCCCGCACAGCTCTCCTGAGATTAGGGTTGCCACCTTTTCTTCCAGCAAAACCCAAACACTCTCACGACGCACTGAATTTTTTGGGGGGAGAATGAGTCGCGGTCTATTCATATGTAAATAGCGCCAGCCATTAATATGTAAATATCACCGTTGTGACTATTTTCATTGGAAGGGGAGCCAGTAGCCCCTATCTTAATTTTGGTTGCCCCTGCCTGCCTGACATCTTGTGTCCGGGTTTCAGCTGCCATGAAACCCGGACACAGCATTCAAAACCCGGACAGTCCGGGTGAATCCCGGACAGGTGGCAACCCTACCTGAGATCCTCCACAGCCCTCCTGAGACCCCGCACAGCTCTCATGAGACCCCGCACAGCTCTCATGAGACCCCGCACTGCCCTCCTGAGACCCCGCACTGCCCTCCTGAGACCCCGCACAGCCCTCCTGAGACCCCGCACAGCTCTCATGAGACCCCGCACAGCCCTCCTGAGACCCCCCACTCCCCCCAACTCCTGAGACCCCGCACAGCTCTCATGAGACCCCGCACAGCTCTCATGAGACCCCGCACTGCCCTCCTGAGACCCCGCACTGCCCTCCTGAGACCCCGCACAGCCCTCCTGAGACCCTGCACTGCCTTCCTGAGACCCCGCATAGTCCTCATGAAACCCTTTCACAGCCCTCCTGAGACCCCGCACAGCTCTTCTGAGACCCTCCACAGCATTCTTTCGCTTTCAATGGTATATTCAACAGACCCCCAGGGGCCAGATAAGAGAAGTTCATTGGTGGGGTTTGCTGTACACTCCTGTCAGTGACTCTAATATGGTATAAGAAGCCGTAGGAGGTGTGAGGACTCTGGAGGAACTCTGTGTAGACATTATTCATCCCGGGACAGTCCAGATCATTCTCATGTTATTATCCGTCTACAGAGAGGAGAGTCCGGTATAGATCACATGACCACATCAGTAAACATGGAGAAGAACCGGAATCACATGACTGAGAGGATACTAGACCTCACCCTGGAGATCATCTACCTGCTGACCGGAGAGGTGAGGAGGATTCTGGGAGGTCACATGACATCACTCCTATCTCTATTAATAAAACACAGATCTGACCAGAGAGGTGAGGAGGATTGAGGAGGGGGGAGGGGGGGGATCTATGGTGTCTCATTAAATTAGACTTACATGAATGTAAAACACATCTCTGCTAATCCTTACTGAGCAGGTCGGAGGATTTGGGGAAATCTGAAGAGATCATTTACTTTTTAAAATTTTACACAGGAACATAAAGTGGTGAAGAAAATGTCCGGTGAGCCATTAACACCCAACAGCTTCCTTCACGGGACATCACCCATCACAGAGCCTCCACCCCACCGCCCGACCACAGAGGAAAAGAGAGCCAAGAAGATCCTAGAAGTCACCCAGAAGATCATTTATCTGCTGACAGGAGAGGTGAGCGGTGCCGGGAATTCTGGGACATGATCCAGGAACAGACAAGGGGTGTGTCTGGGTGGTGACTGTATCATTGTGTGTGTCAGGTTCCTATAAGGTGTCAGGATGTCTCTGTCTATCTCTCCATGGAGGAGTGGGAGTATCTAGAAGAACACCGGGATCTCTACAAGGACGTGGTGATGGAGAATGAGCCGCCCCTCACATCACCGGGTAAGAGGAGAGAGCAGTACAGAGGGTCCACCTAGATCCCCCATCATCTGATACACACATAGAAACAATGTATTCAGTCAGTGTGTGTGTTTCCTACAGATGGATCCAGTAAGAGGAACCCACCAGAGAGATGTCCCCGTCCTCTGTATTCCCGGGATCCCACACAGGAACATCTCACCGTCCCCCACCATGATCAGGTATGTGGGACTCAGCATGTGGTCTTAAAACAATATTCTAAGAGATGACATTCTTCTATGTATTTTTTTTATTTTTTATAAATCTATATTATTATCTTTGGGGTTTTAGGATGAAGATCTGAAAGACTTCAAAATTGAGGTGAAAGAGGAAGAAGAAGAGACGTTGGTGAGTGGAGCTCAGCAGTCTATGGAGGAGGGGGAGATGAATATGAAGAGTAACCAGGAGGAATCTTCTCTACATATCGACACAAGTAAGTCATAAACACTAAATGCTGAAACAGGTCACATTTTAATTTTTCCTTCGATGAGTATTACGTATATATTTACAAATGTCCATTGACTTCACCCTCCCAAAAAATGATAAACCCGCAGTTGATCCATATGAATGCAGAAACCCATATAAAGCTGGGCAGAATTCTCCTCTAAAAATGCAACACTCTGTGCCGGCCTGATTGAAGAGAAAGAAAGTAAATTCTTTCAGTTAGAAACAGAATTAGAAATCTTGTTGACAAGAAGAACATCATCGATGTATCTGCTCCACAACCACAACCTTTTGGTAATGATGGTATTGCAGCCGATATGGTAGATCTCCAGTCCTTGCCAAAAGAATGTCATTTTTGAATTTACCACCCAATGTTTTCACCAAATGAGGAGGAGATACTGTACACCATATGAAGGTCCATCTCCATTCCCCAATATAACGTCATGTGACCAACAAATGAGGAGGAGATACTGTACACCATATGAAGGTCCATCTCCATTCCTCAATATAACGTCATGTGACCAACAAATGAGGAGGAGATACTGTACACCATATGAAGGTCCATCTCCATTCCCCAATATAGCGTCATGTGACCAACAAATGAGGAGGAGATACTGTACACCATATGAAGGTCCATCTCCATTCCCCAATATAGCGTCATGTGACCAACAAATGAGGAGGAGATACTGTACACCATATGAAGGTCCATCTCCATTCCCCAATATAGCGTCATGTGACCAACAAATGAGGAGGAGATACTGTACACCACATGAAGGTCCATCTCCATTCCTCATTATATTATGATTACTTCCAATCCCGGGCCGGAGATCTGAGATCCTGTCGTGTTCCTCACCAGCATATATGACTCCTATATACAGACATGAAGACTTCTGATCACATTGATTGACATGTTGCTCTCCAACAGATGGACGCTGTGTGCGGAATATGAACACCTCAGAGGGAGATCTTATTCCATCTCCAGATTCTACGGAAGATAACAGATCCGCTCAATATTCTCCGGGAACAAATCCCTCGAGTCACAACCTACATCACAGAAATTACTATTTGGGAAGATCGATGGATCCCTCCAATCCCGAGGAACCTTCTGATCATTCGCATCACATGACTTCAGATATCCATCTAAAACCTCACAATGTGGAGAGATCAACAGATCCATCTATTCCGAAGGAATCTTCTGTGAGCCACGAAAGAGTACAAAACGTAGACCATTCATTGTCATTTTTGGAGTGCGGGAAATCTTTTACTGAAAACAGAGCATTCCCTAGGCACCAGAATATTCAAACAGGAGAACATCATTTTTCCTGTTCAGAGTGTGGGAAAGGTTTCAATAACAAAGCAAAACTTCATAGACACCAGAGAATACACACAGGTGAGCGTCCTTTTTCCTGTTCAGAGTGTGGGAAAAGTTTTTCTCAGAAATGGGACCTAATTATACACCAAAGAATTCACACTGGTGAACGTCCTTTTTCTTGTTCAGAGTGTGGGAAATGTTTCACTGAGAATAGATTACTTCTTCGACACCAGATTATCCACACAAGTGAACGTCCTTTTTCCTGTTTAGAGTGCGGGAAAAGTTTCACTCACCAAGGAAAACTTTTTAGACACCAGAGAATTCACACACACGAGCCTTCTTTTTCCTGTTCAGACTGCGGGAAATGTTTCAATGAAAAAGGAAACCTTCTTAGACACCAAAGAATTCATACAGGCGAGCGGCCTTATTCGTGTTCAGTGTGCAGGAAATGTTTCACTGACAAAGGAAAACTTCTTCGGCACCAGAGAAGTCACACAGGTGAACGTCCTTTTTCTTGTTCAGAGTGTGGGAAAGGTTTCGCTCAGAAAGGGGACCTTACTATACACCAGAGAATTCACACAGGTGAACGTCCTTTTTCCTGTTCAGAGTGTGGGAAGTGTTTCCGAGAGAAAGCAAAACTTCTCAGACATCAAAAAATTCACACAGGTGAGCGTCCATTTTCATGTTCAGAGTGTGGGAAAGGTTTTACTGACAAAGGTAACCTTCTCAGACACCAGAGAATTCACGCAGGTGAGCAAACTTTTTCTCCCTTTTGAGTGTGGGAAAAGTTTAATTTATAAAGGAGACCTTCTTAGATACGCACACGTACTAAAAATAAAAGATTTAATATGGATGAATATGATTTATTTTTTTTGTCTTCAGAGTGTGGAAATGTTACTCTAGGAGTAAATAAATAAAAACCTTGCTGTGCACCAAACAAATTCGCACAACTGGTGAAGAAAGATACTAAATTGGTTAAAATTAGGGATGCAACGATCCTGATTTTTTTCGGTTACAAGAACAATATTTGATATTTATTCTGATATTTATCTTTCGGTACTCGCCGATACAGAGTACCAGTACCGGTGCTTCCGCTAACATGGAGCCGGCTTCCAGGGCAATCGGGAAGCCGGGTGGTTTGTCATTCCCTGCCGCCCGGCTTCTGGATTGGCCGGCAAGCTGGCTCCATGCTCTTTGGCCGGGAAGCTGGTTACCTGGCCAATCAGCATGGAGCCAACTTCCTGGTCAATCGGGGAGGCGGGTGCTTTCCTGCCAAGCACGCCCTCTAACCCAGTATAAGATGAGAGGAGAGTGCACACGTATCGCAGTATGAGTCGAGTGGGTGATTTCTTCCACTTCTGCTTGTCTGTTGCCTCGATTGTGTGACCCGCCGCCCAGCTTCCTGATTGGCCAGGAAGCCGGCTCTATGCTGATTGGCCAGAAAGCTGGCTCCATGCTGTTTGGCCAGCTCTTGACGCTCGAGAAAACTCATACACCCGTACACAGCTGAGCCGGCCAAATAGCACGGAGCCGGCTTCCCAGCCAATCACAAGGGGAGAGTCATTACCTAACGTCCGGCTTCCTGATTGGCCGATATATCCGAATGTCCGAATAACAAATATTTCCGAAACGAATTGCACATGTCTAGACACGCCCATATGTACGTCATTATCGTTTCCTATGACCTAGTACCAAACCTTCCCTCACCTGCTCGACTCAGAGCATCACCAAAGACCGGAGGCCAAAGGTCAACAGGTCTCTGCTAGACCACAGATGGACCAAACATATCAAGACGTGGAGCCGGGTCTGTCGGATACACGAGGGAGATTGGTGGCCCGGTAATACAATGGTAGCCAAGTAGGAAGGGAAAGAGAAGAAAGAGATAAGTCATGATTAAAGGGCAGGTCCACCATACATGAGTCATGGTGCCTAGCTCACACTGGCATCTCCAACACATAGCACAGTTCCCAGAAGACATTTGGTGAAGCCTATAGGGGGACACATACCAATGGGGTGAAGCAATCTGAAATGCCTTCCTTATGTTGAGGTGGCCATACTTAATTTATGTCAGCTGAGAGAGGTTGAAACTCTTCGGTGTCCACCAATAAGATCCATGGATGCCACCGATTTCCAAATGATTAATACATGTCGTTCTGCTGGGCTATCAGTGATACCATTTTCCAAAAGTCTTGAGTAAAGGGCAGCTCCACCATACATGAGTCATGGTGTCTATCTCACATTGGCATCTCCAACACATAGCACAGTTCCCAGAAGGAATTTGGTGAAGCCTAATGGGGGGCAACTACCAATGGGGTGAAGCAATCTGAAATTCTTTCCTTGAGGTGGCCATACTTAATTTATGAGTTAGCCCAAAACATGAAGTCTTATCCTCTTCCTGGAAATGTTGAAACCAAGAACCCCAGTGGGGTGTAGATGGGGGCAACATTTAGGACAGTGACGTGACGGGCATCAGGTAACACAGGTAGGTGTGGGGGATTGGCCGACAAAGAAAATGTGACACTTTGCAAGCTGGGGGAACATCAAGATGGTCCATAGCCAGTGTGAGTGGGCAATAACCCGACAATCGATATGTCAATGTGGCTGACTTACAGACTCTTTTAATCGAGGGAGCCAGTCCTACCATCTATGGTCATTCATGGTGAGCCAGTCCTCCCATCTATGATCATTCATGGTGAGCCAGTCCTCCCATCTATGATCATTCATGGTGAGCCAGTCCTCCCATCTATGATCATTCATGGTGAGCCAGTCCTCCCATCTATGATCATTCATGGTGAGCCAGTCCTCCCATCTATGATCATTCATGGTGAGCCAGTCCTCCCATCTATGATCATTCATGGTGAGCCAGTCCTCCCATCTATGATCATTCATGGTGAGCCAGTCCTCCCATCTATGATCATTCATGGTGAGCCAGTCCTCCCATCTATGATCATTCATGGTGAGCCAGTCCTCCCATCTATGATCATTCATGGTGAGCCAGTCCTCCCATCTATGATCATTCATGGTGAGCCAGTCCTCCCATCTATGATCATTCATGGTGAGCCAGTCCTCCCATCTATGATCATTCATGGTGAGCCAGTCCTCCCATCTATGATCATTCATGGTGAGCCAGTCCTCCCATCTATGATCATTCATGGTGAGCCAGTCCTCCCATCTATGATCATTCATGGTGAGCCAGTCCTCCCATCTATGATCATTCATGGTGAGCCAGTCCTCCCATCTATGATCATTCATGGTGAGCCAGTCCTCCCATCTATGATCATTCATGGTGAGCCAGTCCTCCCATCTATGATCATTCATGGTGAGCCAGTCCTCCCATCTATGATCATTCATGGTGAGCCAGTCCTCCCATCTATGATCATTCATGGTGAGCCAGTCCTCCCATCTATGATCATTCATGGTGAGCCAGTCCTCCCATCTATGATCATTCATGGTGAGCCAGTCCTCCCATCTATGATCATTCATGGTGAGCCAGTCCTCCCATCTATGATCATTCATGGTGAGCCAGTCCTCCCATCTATGATCATTCATGGTGAGCCAGTCCTCCCATCTATGATCATTCATGGTGAGCCAGTCCTCCCATCTATGATCATTCATGGTGAGCCAGTCCTCCCATCTATGATCATTCATGGTGAGCCAGTCCTCCCATCTATGATCATTCATGGTGAGCCAGTCCTACAATCTATGATCATTCATGGTGAGCCAGTCCTACAATTTATAATCATTCATGATGAGCCAGTCCTACAATCTATGATCATTCATGGTGAGCCAGTCCTACCATCTATGATCATTCATGGTGAGCCAGTCCTACAATCTATGATCATTCATGGTGAGCTAGTCCTACAATCTATGATCATTCATGGTGAGCCAGTCCTACCATCTATGACCATTCATGGTGAGCCAGTCCTACAATCTATGATCATTCATGGTGAGCCAGTCCTACCATCTATGATCATTCCTGGTGAGCCAGTCCTACAATCTATGATCATTCATGGTGAGCCAGTCCTACAATCTATGATCATTCGTGGCGAGCCAGACGCTCTACATGTTCTTGTTCTTCATGATTTTTTTTTCATTGTCCGGACTTGACCTGGCGGAATAGTCGCGGTGTGTAATCATAAATGTCAACATCATGGGAAGATGTGCTGCATAATGTAGGCTGCAGTATATACATTCTCCACAAGGAGCTGATCTTACTTTTTCTTAGTGCAACTAATGCAGGAAGTGATGTAAGATGAGACAGGAAGTGATGTGGGGCACACCCAGGAAGCATTGTCACATAGGAAGTTCTGGGAGTTGGGAGGAATTAGGGAGGAAGCATTGGTGTATCTGGCAGCAGAGACGGTAATAAGATATTGTGTTATAGCTACGCATGTCATGTGTGTCCTTTTCTTCCGTTTTCACTATCAAGACCCACCTGAGACCCCGTACACCCTCTACAGCCCTCCTGAGACCCTCTATAGCTGGTGGTGGTCTGCATTACTGCATTATGTATTGCTGGGATTTGTAGTCCTCTATAGCTGGTGGTATTCTGCATTGCTGTATAATGTATTGCTGGGATTTGTAGTCCTCTATAGCTGGTTGTATTCTGCATTGCTGTATAATGTATTGCTGGGATTTGTAGTCCTCTCTAGCTGGTGGTATTCTGCATTGCTGTATAATGTATTGCTGGGATTTGTAGTCCTCTATAGCTGGTGGTATTCTGCATTGCTGTGTAATGTATTGCTGAGATTTGTAGTCCTCTATAGCTGGTGGTATTCTGCATTGCTGTGTAATGTATTGCTGAGATTTGTAGTCCTCTGTAGCTGGCGGTATTCTGCATTGCTGTATATTGTATTGCTGGGATTTGTAGTCTCTCTATAGCTGATGGTATTATTCTGCATTGCTATATAATGTATTGCTGGGAGTTGTAGTCCTCTATAGCAGGTGGTATTCTGCATTGCTGTATATTGTATTTCTGAGATTAGTAGTCCTCTCTAGCTGGTGGTATTCTGCATTGCTGTATAATGTATTGCTGGGATTTGTAGTCTCTCTATAGCTGGTGGTATTCTGCATTGCTATATAATGTATTGCTGGGATTTGTAGTCCTCTATAGAATACCACCAGCTATAGAGGACTACAAATCCCAGCAATGCATTATACAGCAATGTAGAATAATATGAAGCTACATATCCTGTGTTGCTCTGGGGTGGCGGCCTGACATTTCCAGAGTTTTATGAGGTCTGTGCGGGGTCCCAGGTGTGCTGTGTGGGGTCTTGAGAGGGCTGTGGGGGGTCCTACTAGGGCTGTTTGTGGTCTCACCAGGGCTGTGTGGGGTCTCAGGAGGATGTGCAGGGTCTTACCAGAGCGATGTGCGGTCTCTCCAGGGCTACTTTCAGTCTCATCAGGGCTGTGTGCAGCCTCAGTAGGGCATTGTGTGGTCCCACCCGGGGCCACGTGCGGCCTCTCCAGGGCTAGGTGTGGTCTTAGCAGGGTCTGAGGTGGATGTGTTTAAAGAGTGCAGGGTCATATTAGGTTTCCCCCCATGGATGTGTCACTGGCCCTGCCAGCAGCGCCCGGGGCACATGCTCCCCCTGCTGCGTACCGGTGCGCACCACCACAAAAAAAAGCCCCGATCCTAAATATAAAGTCCATCATTTGGAATCGGAGCAAAAAGAGGAATTTGGATCCAAATGAGGGACCGTTGGGAGCTATGAATATAATTATCAGATATAACAAAACGCTTCCAATGTTGTTTTGAACAGACCCAAAGGGACCAGAATGGAGAAGTTCGTTGGTGAGGTTTACTGTACACTCCCTTTAACTCCTTACACTCCCTTTAAGGAGAGTCTCCAGTTTCCTGTCAGTGACTCTAATAAAGTATAAGAAGCCGCCTGAGGTGTGAGAACTCTGGAGGAACTCTGTGCAGACAGTGCCTCTGTACTGAGTGCTAGTACCCATTCAGAAAGTCATGAATGAACAGGAAGTGATGTAAAGCACTTCCTGTTCATTCATAACTGGGGACACATAGTACTATGTGTCCCAGTTATTTACAAACACCGGAGTGATCAGCTGATGGCTCCAATGTTTGCTCTGCCGTTCGGCCACGCACAGAGGGGCTGCACGGCCTGCAGCTTCCTCTGAGATCCCCGCTGCTCTCCACCCGACTGTATGGGCAGAGGCAGCGGGGATCCGAAGAGAAGTGAAGCTGCCTCTCTCCGCTCAGCCATCCTAAACTGACAGCTCCCTCCAACACCCCCCACTGGCTTCAGCGCTTCACTTCTCCTCAGATCCCCGCTGCCTCTGTCCATACAGGCGGGGGAGAGCAGCGGGGATCCAGAAGAGAAGCTGCAGGCTGTGCCGCCACACAGAGCCTTTGGCTGCGCCCCCCTCGCACCTGCACCCGAGGTACTCGCCTCAGTTGCCTCGCCCTAGCTACGGCCCTGTGTGCAAACATTATTCATCCCGGGACAGTCCAGATCATTCTCATGTTATTATCCATCTACAGAGAGGAGAGTCCAGTACAGATCACATGACCACATCAATAAACATGGAGAAGAACTGGAATCACATGACTGAGACGTTAATAGACCTCACCCTGGAGATCATCTACCTGCTGACCGGAGAGGTGAGGAGGATTCTGGGAATGTTGCTGGCCATCACTCCTATTATTGTAATGAGAAACAAAGCTGACTGCACATGTATCTCTACACAGGATCATACAGTAGTGAGGAAAATATCCGGTGAGCCATTCACACTCACTAGCCGTCCTCAAGGGACATCACCCATCATGGTGCCTTCAGGTCATTCCCCGACACCTGAGATAAGCAGAGACCAGAAGGTCC